TGCAGTCAGCGTGCCACACACAGGTGGAGGATGCACCTTCCCAGATATTGACAAAGCAGGAGGCTCGAGATGGCCTGAGCACTAAGCTTGTCTGCTCACTCTGCCAATATGGGCCTTGAGAGGCACGCTGACCTCAGGCACACGCTGGGCAGCGGCAGGACCAGGACTGGAGTCCCATCAACATGTGTGCCTTCCCTCTGCGCCTCAGTGTCCCCTTCCGTCAGGTGGAGGGTGGGCTTCCATGACCTCTAAGTTCCCTTCCAGCCTCAGAAAGGAAAAAAGGTGTATCCATAAATATGCCCCTTGCCAAAGCCTCTGGCCACACTTGCACGATGTGACCAGACCCTGGAGACCCTAGCCTTCACTCAGAACGCAGACACAGTGCCTGATGATAGCCAAGGTCATCTGCCCGCCACTTCTCCCCGTCTTTGGGCATGGCCCCAGTGCCAGAGAGGACCGCCTCTGCCTGACCTGCCCAGTCCTCTTCATCACCACTTTGATGTCCACCCACTTCTCTCTGGTTCCACAGGTCCACACCCCTGCTGGCTCCACACCACCCTTCCAGGTCCTCCTTCCCTCCGCAATCTCTCTCTTCCTGAAAGATCTCTTCTTTCAGCTGGGTGCGGTGGCTCACACCTGTAATCCCAGCACTTTGGGAGGCCAAGGCGGGCGGATCATCTGAGGTTGGGAGTTCAAGACCAGCCTGACCAACATGGAGAAACCCCATCTCTACTAAAAAGTACATCCACATGTATTTTGGGGCGTGGTGGCACATGTCTGTAATCCCAGCTACTCGGGAGGCTGAGGCAAGAGAATCGCTTGAAACCAGGAAGTCGAGGTTGCAGTGAGCCAAGATCGTGTCACTGCACTCCAGCCTGGGCAACAAAAGCAAAACTCCGTCTCAAAAAAAAAAAAAATCTCTTCTTTCTTTTCCACCTTGTTCCACCCTCTCCTACCTCCCAGGTGAAACCGGCTGGGATTCAGCATTCACAGGGTCATGGAGCGTGGGGATGAGGACATTCAACTTCAGCCCCTCAACCCCTGCATCCACCTAAACCCTCTGCCTCCACCGAGCACCCCAGGTAGGCAGAGGATGACCGACTGTGTCAAGCTTGGCTCTGGTGCTGATGCACCACGGGCACTCTGCCAACATCCATTCCCACCGAAGCCTCTTAGGATGTCACATGCCCATCTTACACACGTAGGCCCCACAGCTCAAGAAGGCCACAGTGAGGCCCAAGATCACTCACCCCTAAAAAGCCGAGGGACAGTCCTGGGATTCGAACCCAGGACTGTCTAGCTCAAGGCCAGTGCTCTTCCAGGCACCTCCCTAAATAATGTCTCATGCTTTCAAGGGCAGTTTGAATTGCTAGAAACAGGACAAAACTCACTTCTTCTCCATGAAATCTCTCTTCCCACACAGCAGGGGAGGGCAGGACATGCAGACACATCCAACATCACATCACTGTGGTTCAGGATGCAGCCACACTGCTCCCCACCTGGCCCTGGACTGAGGACTCGCTGACCCACTGCCGAGCCCAGGGCCTGTTAGGCAGCACTGGGCAGAGAGGCAGGAAGAAACTGCCCTTCCCCAGGGCTTCTGGACATCAGAGGGTGTTGCAGGAATCCTTTGCAACAGAATCCCAGTAAGACTTTCCGAGAACCCCAACTGAGAAAGAGATGAAGAAGAATACACGTTCCAAGAGGCCCCATAGGGCCCTGAATTCTCAGACAGGCGCTGGTAAACAGATAGTAGCAACGGAGTCCTGAAGACACCAGAGCACCCTCCCTGGTGCTCCAACTGCAGGGAGTACAGCCCAGAGGCGGCCGCCAAGACTCCATGCCTCCCTCCCTAACCCACAGATTTTCCACATGAGAAGTGGACAGGTAGCATGCAGCAGCAGACAGGAGGCAATGGGGAGGGGCTTCCCACCAGAATTCATGCAATCCTACTGGGTGGCAGCCTTTTAATCCCAAAGCTCTAGTGTGGGATCTTGGGCTGTTCACCACAAGACTTTGCAGTCAGCGTGCCACACATAGGTGGGGGATACATGTGCCTGGGTATTGATAAGCAGGAGGCTCGCGATGGCCTGAGCACTAAGCTGGGCTGCTCACCCTGCCACATCACCGTTTTCTGTGTACCTTGATGAGACAAAGGTTGGGCAGCACTGCTCCAAGCTCATGTCCTCGTTGTTCAGACCCAAGATCTAGAGCATGAAATGAACCTGCCCAAGGCCCTACAGGTGATCTGTGGTGGGGACTGCACGGGAACTACCTCCTGGCTCCCATTTTCGCCGTCTTTATGCTGAGCTCCTCACCATGGACAGCTTGGTTTCTTTTTGTTGTTGTAGTTTTGGGAGGGTTTTTTGAGACAGGGTCTCACTGTGTCACCCAGGCTGGACTGCAGTGGTGTGATCACGGCTCATTGCAGCCTCAAACTTCTGGGCACAAGCAATCCTTCCACCTCAGCCTCCAAAAGTGCTGAAATGTGCAGGCATGAGCCACTGTGCCCAGCCCCAGCTTGGTTTCTTGGTAGCAAGGCCAGGGCCTCCCCACTCAACTATGTGCCCCAGTCTCCCCAGACAGAGCTGCCTGCCTACCTAACCTTAAAGCTTCTCTGGGTAGAGCAGAGTCAACAGGGGCGATGAGGAGGGACCAGCACAGTCCCCAAAGCCCAGCCCTCATGGTGGGAAGTGGTCCCTGGAGCACAGAAACCCAGAGTTGCATGGGGCCCAGTTATCTCTGTGCAGCAGGTAGAAGGGGGCTGATTCAGTGAGTTGGAGACCTAGTAATTTCCTCATTTGTCTTGTCAACATCCTGTCCCACAGAGTGTCAAGTCCATTACACAAAGATTTTCTGCGAGGAAGATACTTAAGTGTGAGTCCAGGAAACAGCAGGGGTTTGGGCTAAGATGAGGATCTCTGCACTTCAACATCCAGGAGCAAGTCAAAGCTATTTATTACTGGAGGGAAGCCCAGTGTCACCTTCCACACAGCAGTAATCTGCCAGTACCTGAGCGTCACATAGAGGAGGACATGGGTACGTCTGAGGGCCACCGTGCTCACCATAGCAACCACAGGCCAACGGCATTCTCAACCTGCTTGAGCCCCAGAGCACTGTCTCAGAAGGAACAGTCCAAAGTGGATTTCTATGCAAAACCCATCAGGAAATGTGCGAATATTCATGCCTGTGCAGGAAGGACTCAGGCAGCCCCATCCAGTCCAGCCCTGGGCAGGACTTACCATAGAGCTGCCATGGTGCCCACAGGCAGGGCCAGCCTGGGAGTTGCTCTGAGCCCAGAGCCTCTGCAATGACCCCACTGGGGGCTATGATGCTGAGTGCCCAGAGTAAGGTGCTCAACACAGCTGCCTTTGAGGTCACCACTCCATTCACCACTGCCCTAATCACTGCCGGCACCCAAGGCCATGCCCAAACAGCCACCCCCTGGCCAGTGCCTCCCTTCCTGGGCATCCAAGGTTGCTCCCACCAGGGACATGTGTATCATCATTCCGATTTCAATCTCCTGGAGCATGCTTTGTCCACGGGAGGGAAGGATGTCACCACAAGGGAGCAAAAGCTGGTTATTGGGTGGGCAAAAAAAAAAAAAAAAAAGGAGATCCTGCAACGGTTTACATGCTCCAAAACCCAAATCTTCGAGACAAAATTTTATTCCTTGGTATTTAATTTCTCTAGTTAGGAAGAATTATTTTTTCTCCTTGGAAAACAATAATAAAAAAAGAGAATGGTGGAAAAGCATGGCCCTAGAAAACTCTTGATTTGAAAGGGCTTTGGGTCTCACTGGAAATGCTTTCAGCTCACAGCTCACAGCAGTGCCTCTCAGCTGGCAGTGACTGTGCCCCCCAGGGGACATCTGGCCCTGTCTGGAGACATCTTTGTTGTCACAGCTTGCAAGAGCGCTGCTGGCATCCAGTGGGGCCAGGGACGTTGCTGACCATCCTCAGACTCACAGGATGGCTCCTCCCACAAGAAAGAATTACCCAGGCCAAAATGTCAGCAGTGCTCCTGCCGGAAACCCTGCTTTGGAGCCAGAAACTCCAGATTTCAAAGATTACCACAAAACTATCAACCAGATTTCTGTGCTCAAAGACGCCTGAGAACAAGCCCGACCCTGGCCACCCCATGGAGCATCCGTTTCCATTAGTCCCCTAGACGAGCTCACCCCCTACCTCCACAGAGCACTCCCAACACTGGAATCCCTCCCCAGCACCCAGGCAGGGTGCGCTGCCCTGGGCCCAGGGACTCCCAAATGTCAGAGAGAACAAAGTCAAGAAGAAAGAACCCCCAGAGCTCACCTGGCTCCTACATGTGGAGCCTGGTAGACAAAGCAAAAGCCCAATTCGGACCGTCTCACTCTCCAGGGTGGATGGCACAGGGGGTGGCCTGACCAGAGTGGTTCCTGCAGACACCTCCCTTCATGTAGTTCAAGAAGCAGAGCCCTCAAGAGAGAGGGAAAACCCAGGGAAGAACAGATCGTCGCAGGACCAATAATACCAAGCCACAGCTCATGCTGACCCATGCGGCGTACTGAGCACTTTACCAGCCACCGACCCACTTAGACCTCATGGCAATCCAGTAAGGTAGGTACAGTACTCTCCCATCACAACTGAGGAAACTGAGGTCCAGAGAGGTTAAGCAACGAGACCAAGTGGAAGAGCTCCAAAGAGAAGAGCCAGGGAACTGGAAAGAGGGAACAACGATCAGATAGGAGGGGGACACCAGGCTCCAGATTCAAGCCCTACTCCATGAGGGCCACCCGGCCAGGCAATTTCCATCAAAGCTTCTCCATACAAGCAGCCAAGGAGGTGACCATTGAGTTCCTCACAGAGGACTAACGAGGCTCAGAAACGTTAAGGGATGAGCTGATAGGCAGCAGGGCCATCATCGGACACCAGGACGCGTCAGTCCAAGCCCAGAGCTCCATCTGCCAGGCCACAGGGACGAGAGGAGAACTGGTCAAGTCCCAGTGAGAGCTCACTTACCTGAGAACATTGAAGCAAGCCTGAAGATGTCGGAGAGGCGGGAGGTTACCGGCTCGTAGGGGGAGGCTTCGTAAAACTCCTCACCTGTAAGAGAGAACTGGCATCAGACACAGGCTCCTCCAGTCCAGACAGCTGCGGCACTTAGCAACTCTGCCCGAGGAAAGCTCTCTACCAGGGCTCACGCCACCCAGGGGATAAGAGACAGGGCACCCTTCCCATAGTGAAGAGCTCAAGACCAGGGCACGTTAGGAACGAAAGGTTTAGCATTTCATCCGGGCAGGTCTGTCTCCCCACCTAGAGGAGCTCTCTGACAGCAGCTGAGAACTACCTGACGCTTCTCTCTCGTGACCACCCTGCACGGCCACCCCACTTGGAAGGACTTCCAGGTGTGTCTGGGGGAAGTGGAGCAATGCTGACCCATGTAAGGCCATGTATCAATCGCAGGATTCGAAGCCAAAGGGCTCTCCACAATCATTCCCATTTCACAAGAGAGGCTCTGAGAAGGCTCAAGAGGTAAAGAAACCTGCCTGAGATCACACAGCTACTTCTGGAATGGCCAGAGCTAGACACTGGTGTTCTGGCCCTCCCACCAGCATCCTTTCCTGTCACCCCACGCCAGCTCTACCCAGGTCACCGAGAAGGGCAGAATTTCCTCTTTGCCTCCCATCGTGTTGCCAGGAAAATCTTGCCAAGGGGCTGAAGGTCCGCTCAGTGGGTGGCCCGATCCCCAGCTTCCATCTGTATGGTCCCTCTCCTGCAGGTCGCCCTGTCCTCCCCACCCACCACCTGCAGGCTCCTTGGACCTTTCCTCGAGGCTTTGGGGTGCCCTGGGGGCTCAGGAAGGGGAAAGCAAGTGAGTGACAGGAGATGGATGGCCCAGGGCTGCCCTGAAGACCCGACCACCGTGTCAGGAATCCCACCTTCCTCTGCTAAGACTTCAGCAGGAAAGGAAATAGCCTCTTCAGACGTTATCGGTGAGGGGAAATTGATGGCTCATCACTCATCCTGCGCGCGCGTGTGTGTGTGTAGTGAGAAGCAGGGCACAGGTGATGACCCACAGCCTCACACACTCATTTCCCATCCAGGCAGGGCCAGGTGCCCAGACAGGCACCCTCTGCCTAAGGGGGAGCACAGTGGGGCAGCCTCTTCAGGGCTACCTGCAGCAAGGTATCATGTATCTGGAACAGGGGCTTTGCAACCCCCTGCACGTGTCACCCAGAGGCTGGAACTGGAGACTCAATTAGCCCCATGCAGGCTCACTGAGCAAGGAGGCTGCCAGTTACTCCCGGCAGACACTCAGGAAAGGGGATAGCCCCAGAGGACAGGAAGGGGGCACACTGCCTCCATGAGGAATAGCCTCTACCTTTCCATCGCCTCCTAAGAGCATCCCTCATGCCCTGCAACAACCAGGACACACAGCAGGTGCCCGGGTGGAATCTGCTAACAGCCTAATCCAAACAAGACTCTGTCTCAAAAAAAAAAAAAAAAAAGTCGCACTCTGTCACCCAAGCTGGAGTACAGTGGCATGATCCTGGCTCACTGCAACCTCCATCTCCCAGGTTCAAGTGATCCTCCCACGTCAGCCTTCTAAGTAGCTGGAATTACAGGCGCATGCCTGGCTAACTTTTGTATTTTTAGTAGAGACAGGGTTTCACCATGTTGGCCAGGCTGGTCTCGAACTCCTGACCTTAAGCAATCCATGCACCTCAGCCTCCCGAAGTGCTGGGATTACAGGTGTGAGCCACTGAGCCCAGCCGAGATGCAATCTTTATGGCCTGTATCTGATCCCATCTTCTCCGTGGGGGCCTTTGGGGCCCCTCACCAGCCTGGATGATCTCAGCGGCTGCCACTCCATCCACTGCCACTTCACTAATGACTCTCTCAAGAGACTTCTTGAGGTGGGGTTACCAGCCATTGCTGTTTATTGAGGCCAAACAATATAGGAACTTAGGAAATCACTTTTATAATAAAAAAAAATATTATACTGTATTTTTTTGGTGCCAGCACTGAAAGTGCTTTAGATATAGCTCATTTCATCTTCTTAACTACTCTATAAGGTAGGCATGGTTTTTCTCCCAGTTTGACTGATAAGGAGGAACAAGGGACACAGAGACGTTAGGTAACTTGAACAAGGTCACACAGCTAACAAGCAATAGAGCCAGGTTTCACACCCAGGCAGTGGCTCCAAAGCCCAAGTGCTTCATTGCTGTGGATACTGTCTCCCAAAATGCACAGTGTTATTGGAACAAAATCATTCCTGCATAAACACTGCTGCTTCCCCTTTCCCAAGATCAGTCTTCTGCCTGCCAGATGGTCCCCCATGGGAAGGGGGGTTGGAGGGGACCTGTCCTTCCCTATACTTCACCTAGTGCAGTCACAGGCCTAGGTATAGCTAGGCCAGTATGACTGAGTAATGGGATGGGGGTGGGGGGGCACAGCCTCTTCCAGAACTGGTTCGGAGGGGCTTAGCCTCTTTAAGTCAACTCGCGCAGCCTATTCCTGCTGCAGAATTCACCAGTGAGAACTCCCGAGGCCTGAGCCACTGAAACCAGAGCCAGAAAGTTAGGTTCTGAGAACAGAAGAAGACTTTGCTCTTCACCTTCAAACCAAAGGCCTCTAAATTTCAGTGTCACCTTTGGGGAAAGCAAGAAACCTGGTCTCAAAGCCCCCATACAGCCAACAATGACAGCCCCTGTGTAAATACTGGTGGAGGAAAACGGGCCCAGGCCATGGGATCTCCCCCGTGCAGTGAAAAGGGACCAGGATAAGGAGTCGGGGCCCTGGGACATAGCCTGGGCCCTGCCATGAGCTTGCTGTGTGCCCTGGGAGGCCATCTCACCCATCTATGCCTCAGCTTCCCTGCTAGATGGTAGGGGTGGGCCCAAATGATCAGCAGATCCTCGGCAGTTCAGACTCTAGGAGCTCAGCAGCCACGCCTTGCAGTCACATTCCTGCCCCCGCCCATTCTCCGTCCTCCCCACTGCCGCTCTTCACACAAGTTGTGCGCCTGGACTGCATACCGAGAGCTAAGTCCCAGGGACTGGGAGAAGGTGGAGCAGAGCCCCATGATGAATCACACCCACCAGAGGCCAAGAAGAGGCTGAGAATCAGAAGGAAAATCCAAGCCCACACACATCGCTCCTCTCAGCGATCTTGCCCTCCCTGCAGCCCCAGGCCTGCGCCAGCTTATTACATGTTATCAAGGAACAGCGAGGATGAACTCGAAGCCTCCCTCAGGGAGATCACTCAACAGGCCATGGATGCTTAACTCTCAGGTAGACCCCGCCACTCACAAGACCACCGCCCAAAGGCCTCCTGGCTCCCGGTGGTGAGCTCTGAGCAGAAACTCCTCTGGGCTCCCAAGACCCAGAAGGTGAAATTCCCCTAGGGAGAAAAGATGCAGTCTTCTATGGAAGGAAAAAGTTTTCTATGCAGGGCCCAGGGAAAAGGTCTCCTGACCTGTCTGCTGGCCAGCACAAGGAACATGGCTCCTACAGTGCTGTTACCTTCTGAGGCACACAGTAGGTGCTCAAGAGATGGCTGTTAAATAAATGAATAAACCATCTCAAGACTTAGAACCAGGAGGGATGCAGTGGCTTATGCCTATAATCCCAACACTTTTGGAGGCCAAGGTGGGAGGACTGCTTGAAGCCAGAAGCTCAAGAATAGCCTGGGCAATATAGCAAGACCCCGTGTCTACAAAAAATAAGTTAACCAGGTGTGGTGGCACGATTCCTAGCTTCTCCGGAGGCTGAGGCAGGACGGTCACTTGAGCCCAGAAATTTGAGGCTGCAGTGAGCTATGATCTTGCCACTGTACTCCAGCCTGGGTGACAGAGTAAGACTTTGTCTCATTTAAAATAAACAAATAAATTTAAAAAGCTCAAGGTCAGGCGCAGTGGTTCACACCTATCATCCCAGCACTTTGGTAGGCCGAGACACAGTATTGCTTGAGATCCAGAGTTCAAGGTCAGTCTGGGCAACGTAGTAAGACCTCATCTCTACTTAAAAAAAGAAAAAGAAAAAGAAAAGGAAGAAAAGAAAAAGAAAACAAAGCCAGGCATGGAGGCAGGCTCCAGTGGTCCCAGCTACATGGGAAGCTGAGGTGGGAGAATCATCTGAGCCCAGGAGGTGGAGGCTGCAGTGAGCTGTGATCATGTCACTGCACTCTAGCCTAGGTGACAGTGAGACTTTGTCTCAAAAAATAAGATTTAGAACCAGAGAAGCCATCTGCATCAGACACTCCCAGTCAAGAGGCCTTGGAAACCACGCAGCAGCGTGCAGCTAAACGCACACAGCGTCATGCTCATTTCCCTGGGACCCCATCGGCATGGTCTTCCTATGCCCTGATACAGTGAGACAGAGGGAGCCAGTGAGATGGGAAGGGCTGCTGGTGCCAAAAGGCCCAGGCGCCCGCCTGGCTGTTCCAGCTGACAGTTAGCTCCTCTGTCCTGTCCTCTCCTCTGTCCACTCCACAGCCCACCCCAACCTGCTGCCCAGTCTCCCTTGGGTGGAAACTGAAGGCTGCCAGAAAGAAGACAAGAAACAAAGCTACCCAGCTCAGGCATCGGGCGCTTTAATCCTTCTGCGCTCCCGAGTCCAACCCCGGGTGAAGACAGCGCCTTATCTCCTGCAGAATAAAGTACCCTCAGGACCGTGTTCCTCCCTTGGCTTGTGCTAGTTCTAGGAATCCAGGTTGCTAGGGAGAAGTGACCACCTGATTCACCAGGAACACTTTGCTATTAATGATGGTAGTAATTACATGCGTTTCTTATTCCTATATTCAGAACATATTCGAGGCATCTCTGGCTGGTCAGGGATCCCTCTCTATCCGGCTTCCACACCTGCAGCCATTTCCCCTCTCCCTCCCAGCACCTGAAGGGAGCATCGCTCCTCTGTTCTAAGGCTCAGCCCCTGCCCCACTTCATACCCTGGACCCAGCCCCTCCCCTTCCCATGGGCATCATTCCACAGACGACCCTTCTGTCTTCATGGCAACGTCGCCATCACTACTGACCGCAGATTTTAAACTGCTCGATCCTCTCCCATCTTTTTTTTTAAAGCATCCTTTGTTCTCTCCTCTTCGCAACAAAATTCTGGAAAGAGTCATCTGCATTCAGCACTCCCAATCCCCCCATTCCCATCTGCTCCCTAACCAGACTCCTGCCTCCAACACAAGGGCCCAGGGGAAACGTCTCCTGTCCCCTACAACGGCCGGCACAGGGAGCGTGGCTCCTCCAGTGTGTAAGACTAGCCTAATTCTTCTGAGGCTCCCATCACCTGCCCAGTCGCTCAAGATAGGAAACTGGGTGTCCTCCTTGACTCCTCTCTCCCCCCACCTTCTCCTCTCCAGTCAGTCACCAAGATTCTCCCCTGAGACACAGAGTAGGTGCCTAAGAAGCTAAGAGCCTCAGCCCAAGGACAGCAGAACCCTTCAGGCCTCCTGCTTACCCTAAGGTATCTGACCCTGTTGAGAGTCCTCTCTTCTGGAATGTGCCGCGCCTCATTTTCCTGCTGCTCTTCCCAGCTCTCCTCAGCTCCTTCGCAGCTCCCTGTAGGCTCCCTTAGCATCCTTAAACGCTGCAGTCCCCGGGTCTGTTGCTGCCCTCCTCTCACTGTGATCATGCCTGCCCGCTGTGCCCTGGTTTCCACCTGCAGGCTGACGTCCATTCCTCAGTCTCCCTCCAGACCCACTTCCTCCCTGAACTCCAGACCTGCATGTCTGCAGGGTGTGGTCAATGAGAGGCATGGGCCCCAAAACAAATTCCCCATAACCCTGCCCTCCCTTCTCCACTCAAAGACTGGCCTGATTTGGCCGGGCACAGTGGCTGACGCCTGTAATCTCGGCACTTTGGGGGGCCAAAGCGGGAGGATCACGAGTCCAGAAGATCGATACTATCCAGGCCAACATGGTGAAACCATGTCTCTACTAAAAATACAAAAATTAGCTGGGCGTGGTGGTGTGTGCCTGTAGTCCCAGCTACTTGGGAGGCTGAGGCAGGAGAATGGCTTAAACGCGGGAGTTGAAGGTTACAGTGAGCTGAGATGGCACCACTGCACTCCAGTCTGGCAACAGAACAAGACTCCATCACACTGGCCTGATTTTTCTGAGGCCTCCGTCACCTGCCCAGTTGCCCAAGACAGGACACTGGGAGCCCTCCTTGACTCCTCTCTCTCCCCTCACCTTCTCCTCTCCAGTTAGTCACCAAGACCTGAGGATTCTCCCTTCTAACTAGCTCTCAGAGGGCCAGGGGCAGTGGCTCACACCGGTAAGCCCAGAACCTTGGGAAGCCAAGGTGGGAGTACCGCTTGAGTCCAGTAGTTTGAGATCAGCCTGGGCAACAGAGCAAGACCCCATCTCTACAAAAAAATATTTAAAAATTAGCTGGGTGTGGTAGCTCACACCAGTAATCCCAGCACTTTGGGAGGCCGAGGCAGACAGATGGCTTGAGCCCAGAAGTTTGAGACCAGCCACGGCAACATAGTGAGACTCCAATAAAAATAATAAATATATAAAAAAATAGCTCTCAGCCCCATTTCTCCATCCTTGCCTCTGTCGTGGTTCTGCCACGACTATTCCTGGCCCGTATCACAGCAGCAGCTTCTCAACAGTCCTCTAATTTACTCTCTCCACCGGGACCACAGAAACATTTTGCTGAAGCACAGATCTGATCATCACCCTGAAAACCCTTCAGGGATCCTTCCCTGTGCCCCTAATTCTCCTCCCCACTTCCACTACCACCCACCACCACCACCATTCTAAGCCACTTGGAGCTCTGTAAACAGGCTCCATTCTCACACTGAGCTTTGCCATGCTGTTCCCTCCACCTCCCACACTCTTCCTGCCTCCCTTTACCTATGTTCCATTTTGTGACTCTGACTCACTCTTCAGCCTCAGTTTGGAGCCTGCCTCTTCCAGGAAGACACTTCAGATTTTATAGCAAGGGCATGGAGGCTCCCTCCAAGCTGCCACCATCACATCTTGTGTCTTCCCTCTAACAGCACTTCTGCCATCAAATGACAGAAGCCCCCTTCTTTATGTGCACCCCACCCAGACTCGGCTCCAGGAGGGCAGAGGCTGTACCAGCTTGCCGTCAACTGTTCCTACAACACCTAGAGTGTAGCAGACAGTAGGCGCTCAACAAATATGTGTTGAATTAATAAATGAACGTCTGGCCACAGTGGCCCACGTCCTAAATAGATGCAAATCCTTCAGACTCAGGTCTGGAGGGGTAAGGGATGCTAGGGTGTGTTACTGGTGTGTTACTTATAGGTTTGCCAAGGGATGTGGAGCCTGCTGCCCGCACACTGCCCCAAGCCCTGTAGAAGGTGCCAGGCCAGCCATGGGGTCCAGAAGCCACGTGAAGGGCTGGCTTCTTGGGAGCAGGGAGGCAGGAGCTGGAAGGGCGGAGTAGAGGAAGCCATCTCTGGGCTCAGACGCAGGGCAGAGCAGCAGCAGTGGCAGCAGAAGTGGCTGGTTTCTCAGCCAGCACCAGCCTGCCCCTTCTCTCTCCTGGTTCTCACTTCTCCATCTGCCTGTTCACTTGTGGTTCACATTCTCCTGGGACCACTTCACACTTTGCTTGAATCACATGGTCTTGCTCCTCCCCAGCCCCTGCCCCCCTCCCCCGCCCCATTCGCCCCCCCACTTTCTCCACCCTGTGTTCTCTCCACCACCTCCCTCTCTCTTCCTCCAGCTGTTGCTTCTGCCTCCTCTTTGTCCCTCCTGGCCTTCTCCAACAATGCCACCCTCCTAGGTGGGGCAGAGACTTCTTCTGGGTTCTAGGTTCCCCTGGCAGGTGGACACAGAAGGCCGGTTTGCCCCATCACCAAGACTCCCTACTGAACCTCTGGCCCACCAGGCGTCCTCTCCGCCTGCGCCACGCCCCCTCCCCCTGGCCAGCCCCGCCCAGGCTTACCCTCGGTCAGCCCCAGGTGGATGCTCCAGTAGATCTGCAGGCACTGCAGCTCCTTCTTCATGCCCCGCTTGCAGCGGCAGTCGTAGAGCGGGCTCTCCTGCAAGACCTCCAGGGCCGCCTGGCACTCCTTGTTGGCCAGCATGGTGTTGCGGTCGCGGCCGGCCAGGCACTGCCGCAGCGTGCGGTAGCGGGAGCTGCAGTTGGATTCGGCGGCACACAGCTCATTGGCCCGGACACAGTCCACTGGGGGGCGCCAGCCGTGGAGCTCGGGGCCCTGCAGGGAGGAAGGGCTGGCCAAAGAGCGGAGGGTCTCGTCTGGGTGGTGGGGAGGGAAGACAAGCATGAATGGCGGGCGCCACGATCTCCCACCCAAGATGCAGGCCTGGGGGCTTGGGCCCTGCTGGGAACGTCACACCCACTTCACACCAAGGCGCAGCGAGGCGACTCTGTGGGCCAGCCCTCCTCACACCCACGGGAAAACTCAGGCGCCATCCTCCCCTGCTCTGGGAGCAAGCTTTCTCCGCTTCCACTCCATTCCTCCTCAGCAGCGGCCTGGGCCTAGGAGCACAGCCCAATAAAGCCAGGAAGGTCCTCGCTCAAGACCACAGTCCAAGACGTCAGAAGCCCAGAGGAGAATGTCCCAGCCTCAGCAGAGAGCTGGGGGCCCCGCTTGCAGGGCGCAGGGAGGAGCTCACTTTCACACCACCCAGGCCTCCTGTAAGCCCCAACTCCAGCCAGAGGCCCATCCACAGCGCTGCACGAAGACTTGAAAGCACTGCAAAGTCATTCACTGGGCATGGCCCGCAAGACCTCACAGACGCCATGCCATAGAGTCTCTCCCCACCTCTTACCCTAGGGAAACTGAGGCCCAAAGAAGGATGATGACAGCTCAAGGTCACACACAGAGGTGGAAGCGCCCCCTCCAATTCCCAGTGCACTCACTCTGAGTCTCACTCTGACTTTAAAACAAGACAGGGAGAGATGAGCCTAACGCCACCGTCCAGGCGAGCCCAGGAGCTACCCCACCCCACCTCACCCTCCACACCTTCCAGCCCAGCTTCACACCAGACGGAGACCTAAACCCTCGCCTTCCACAAGACAAGTTCCGCCCCAACCCCTCCAACAGAAAATGCTTTTGGCAACCCTGCGGGGCATCCATGTCCCCGTCCCCCCCAGCGCGTCCCCTGCTCTCTCCGCCCCATCCTAGGTCTGCTAATGCCTGGCTGTATCTCACGCTTCTCTTACCGACAGCCTCCCAAGAAGTCCGCTTCTGTCACCTTTTACCTCTTCTCTTTGAATGGCCTTGTTTTTTCTCTCTCGGCTCCTCTCTCTCTTTTTACCTTTCTCTCCCCCCTCCTCTGAAAACCCTTCCCCTCTACCTCTCATTTTGTTTTTCCTCCCAAAAGACAAATAATTGCAAAAGGGAAAAGCTCCCCTCCTCGGACCCCAGCCTTGCAAATGGAGCCTTGCTCCTCCAGCAACGTGCAATCCCCCAGCGGCCCACCTTCCCCTCCGTGGCCCCCATGGCCACACCTACTGTGCCTCAGGAGGGAGGGGACAGGGAGGAAGAGAGGTGAACGGCAGGGACAGGCTCGCCTGATCCTTTCAAAGCCAAGCTCCTAAAATGGTCTCCTGCAGACACAGACTCCCAGCCTCTCTGACCTCTGCTAAGCCCCCAACTCCAGATCTTGCCCCCAGGAAAAGCCCTCACCATGGCCCAGAGCCTTGACTGCCCTTTCCTGGACCCAGAGAGTAATGTGGGAGGCTTCCTCGAATCCATCTCGCCCCAGAACATAATAAAATCCTAGGCCAAAAGTCCCCTCCTCAAAATACCGCAGAATCCCCCCATCCCTACCCAGAACTGCTGCTCTCAGGCCTTCCGGGGGGAGGCCCGGCTCAGGGGGGCGCTACTGCAGGGGGACAGCGACACCTAGAGGCAGGGCGCTGCACAGCGGGCCTTTTCTCCCCAAGGCCCCCAGGGAAGAAGACTCCACTCCAGAGGAGAGCAGACAGGAGACCCACCCACAGGAGACAACAGGGAAGAGCAGCAGGGGTAGGCCTGGGGTACAGAAGGCTTCTTCCAGGCCCAGAGCCAAAGACCGGCCCTTCTCTCACTGACCAGACCTCTGCCCCAGAACAGGAAGGCTAATGGAGGCAGCCAGGCTGAGATTAGGCCAAACGAGAAATCCACTCGGAGTGTGAGGCTTGCACCGGCTGGAGAGGTGTCCTCGCCACAAGCTGAGGCAGCATCTTTCTCTCTCTGCTTCAGCAGATTCCTATCTCCCTGAGCAGGATCCGGGTACATCTGGGCTCCCCAAGAGCAGCTGAGTTGATACAGCCCCGGGCCCGCCTGCACCTGCAGCCCTCAGCCAAGAATCCTTCCTCTGGAAGAGGACAGCCCTGTGTCCTCCACTGACTTCACCCCGCCCAATCCCCAGGCTAATGCCCTCCCTCCTCGATTGAACCCGAGGCTGCACTGTCCTGGGGGGCCTGGGAATGGAACTTCCCAGCTTCCTTCGCCTTCTGTAGGCACAGAATTCACCGCATGCCTAAAGTTCAGATTAGCTTAGGGGATTCAGGCCATGAGGACGCTTACTTTGCTTGTCCTACAGGTGGGGCCTAGAACGCCATAGGATGATGCTTACACAATCTTAGGGAGGCTCCCATGCCAAAAGCGAGGGCTTTCCCCATCCTGCCACCTGGCATGTGTGACCAGGCGAGGGACACACTCTGCAAAGGGCCAGGGCATCCATTCACCAAACCATCCTTGACTCTTCTAGTCCATTCCATGACCCCCAGAAACAATCAAGCCCATCCAGAGAAAAGAATCCCTGCAGCCTACAGCCTTTAGCCAAGAATATTAAGAGTGAAGGGTAGGGGGTGTCCTGGCGATATTTCCAAGTCCTAAATTAGGAGAAAACTTCAATCCAGCAAGACGGGGAGTAGCTGCGAGAGACATGGGGGTGGAGGGGGGTGGAGAAGCGACACAGAGCTACAATTGCCCTCCTGCATCCAGCAGCCCACCAGAGCTAGAATGTGTGCTAGAAAGCTAGTCAGAAGAGGCCCCCTGGCCAGTCCAATGCCCCCGCCCGAGTCACTTTCCCCATCTCCCTCTCTCCCTGGGTCAGCACTGGAAGTCAAGATACTGGGCGAGAAAGGTCTCTCTCTCCAGCACAGATTATCCAACCCAGACCTCACTCAGAATCTCCGTAGGGGCACACCAAAGGCCCTTGCCCCCAGCTGAAATTGCCCACCAAGTCTCAAGTCCCAGAAAAACCTCCCCCCACCCTCCGCTCACCCACCCAGTGGGATTTCCACCCAGCTCCCTGCCAGAAAAAGGGGCCCAGGGCTGAAGTTTCCTAAACACCAACCCATCCCTTCCTTTCCACTGGCCTAACCCAGAGCCTTTCAATATCTGTGGTCGCTCTACTCAGCCCACCTTTGGAAGGGGACTTCTCAAGGGAAGGAAACTGAAGAGTCTGCTGCTCTTCTGCTGTCACCCCCACCTCTCAGCACTCAGCCTCCAGAGTTGCAGATATTGGGTTTGGCCACTCTGACCATCCCCCATGCATACACATACACACCTACCATGAGCAGGAACCCCAGTGCCATTTCTGAGAAGGAGAAAGGTAGACTCCTCGGCCTGCCCGGCTGAGGAAAGCTTGCCTGCAATGTCTAGGAGCCCACAATGCTCTTCTCCATCCCCCAGCCCAGACAGTGCCCACACCTGGGAGCCCTGCCCATCCTGGGGTATGCAGCTGACCAGCAGGCAATCTGGCTGCTTTGCCTGAAATACAATTTATTTTTCCTTGACCCTGATCATGCTTCGACCCAGAAAGCTGAGTTTTCAAGCCAGCGGTGGGAGAAAAGGTTAGATTTTATAGTAGCCCTTCAGAACGAGAGTCCACTTGCCAGGGTTGCCAGGAAGGGCTTCAGAATCACAGTGGGCCCAGAGCACCTTCCAGCTTCCTCGCTGAGCCCCTCCCATCCCAGAGAGCAGCTGCCTCTGGCTGAGGGAGGCAGGACCTCTAAGGCCACACCCAGGGCAGGACCTCTAAGGCCACACCCAGGGCAGGGCCTTGTCCTCTTGGGGACTCCCGACTGCGGGGAAGTGGAGGAAACAGGCAAAGGGTTCAGGGCCTTCGTGGACACCCAATGATGCTGGTGCCCTATCCCAGTCTGGTGGGCACTTCTTAGACCGCACATATCCTTCTGTAACCAGCTCCTACCTCCCCAGTTGGGGCCTTCCCGGATCCCCTGCTGCTGCAGGAGGGAGAGGGTGCAATCACGACCCCACTGGGCAGCCCCAATAAACACTGGCTACACAGCAAGCCAAGCTGGTAGAACAGCACCCTCACTGAAGCAGACGTGTGCCCCTTACACACACACACACACACACACACACACACGCACGCACAGTAGTTACCCGGCTCCCTCTATGGGAGCATCTACTCCCAGGCAGCAGCCCTGCCTGGGACTCCGGATGGTGTACAGCCTTGCAAGCACTCGCCTTTCCTCACCTCCCTCCGGAGATGGCCTTCTCTAGACCCGCTTCCCAAGCAGCTGAGAGCTGAGATTTCACCTAACTTAAAAGGGAACAAGGGGTTGGGAATTCTGCGTGAAAAAGAAACTGCGTGGGGCTCAGGGGCGCCAGGCAGCCCCTCCTTCCCGTCCTGGAAGGAGGGGGCTTACGGAAGGAGCACCGGTCTTTGTTCAGGTTCGTTTTTCCTCTCTGCCTCCCACCCTCTTCAACGGAGTAAGCAAACTTTGGCCTCTCTCCCGCCCTTCCCACACCTACGGGGGTCTGCGACCCCCAGAGGTGGAGGAGGGAAGGCCGGGAACGGCTGCTCACAACCCTCCGCTCCCGCCTACCCATCTGGCTGGGGTCTGGGTGGGGAAAAACTTGAAAAGTGTTCCGGGGAGTGGAGCCGCAGGGAAGGGGCTGGGGGTGTGGAGACGAGCAATGCATTCGCCAGGCGCGGCTGTCAGGTTGGAAGTGACTGCCAGCGCTCCCCCTCGATGTCCAAGCCGGAGTCGCAGGAGAAACCCGCACCCTCCACCACTACAACCGACTCTGGGGCAGACCAGGAAAGGCGACCCGGCAGCACTATTCTTTCCGCGCCTGGGAACCTCTCCCTACCTCCCCTCTTGCAGATCAAGAGTTAGACAATTATTTTCCTTAAGTTGCCGCAATTCGAACCCATTATTCCGGAGGAGATGAGCGCTATATTGGCGTGTGAGCGAGCGTGCGTGTGTGTGTGTGTGTGTGTGTGTGCATGTGTGCGGGGCCGGTCGGATGTTGAGTCTCCCTCCCGATCACCCCGTTCGCCAGCCAGCCGCGGCTCGGATCCCTCGCCCGTGTCCCGCCGCCCGGCCCCGCTTGGTTCGCCAGTGCCGACCCGGCTCTCCCCGCAGGCCTCCCGCTAGCCCCTTGCCGGCGCTCCTCCGCTCGCCCACCCCCTCCCGCCCCCACCTTCCCCGCCCCCCCGGCTTCTCACAGCCCGCAGGTACTCACCTAGAAAGAAGAAGAGGCAGAAGGCGTTTGCCAAGATCATGTTAAACAAATCCCACCGTTTTTTGTCTTTCTCCCTTGGGTAAAAAAAAATAGTAATAGTAACAACAACAATAATAGCCAAGCAGTGGTAATCAGCCCCAAATCCAATGCGGAGATCCCAGCTAGTCCACCCGACGAAGATCCCGAGTCCTGCGATTCTCGCCTCTGGCTGGAGGGGGTGGGGTGAGAGGAGGGCGGTGGGCTGCCTCTTGACGCCCCCCTTGCCCGCTACAATCAAATATATGCGTATCTGTGTATCGGCTTTCTAAGCCAACAGCCCGGTCCTGGGGTCAGCCCTCCCCTCCAATCATCGGAGAAGGTGCGAGTCCCCGAGGGTCCAATTCCCCTGCGCTTCCCAGGAGGGGCCTGGGGAGGTGGAGAGAGAGGCGATTTGCGAGTGAAGGGCTGGAAGGAAGCAGCGAGGGAGGGGGTCGGAATAAAATGCAAATAGGAAAGAAATCCACCAACGGTGTCAGCGCCCAGGAACAATCCAGTCAGAGCTTCAAGGACCAGAGACCGGAGTCGCTTCTTTCTCAGCAAGACGAAGACAAGATTCTAAAAAATCTTCTTCCGCTAACCCTTGCTCGGCTCACTTTTTTCTAATGGAATTCCAGTGACCGTGTGTCTCTGCGTGCGTGTGTCTTTCTCCCTCCTCTCCCTCGCTCTCACTCTTTGCTCTCGCTCTCCCCAGCTCTCCCTCGCTCTCCTCTCTCCCTCCCCCTTCTCCCCCTCTCCCTGATCCTCCCTCAGCCCGCCCCCTTCCCCCTTCGCGGCTCCCTCGCGGCTCTCGGGCCCGCGCCCCTCTCCTCCGCCCGGGGCTCCGCGCTCGGGCTCCCAGGCGGCTGGTGGCGCGGGAGCGCGGCGGAGCAGCGAGGCTCTGCAGCGGCGGCGGCAGCGGAGACACGGCGGTGGCGGTGGCGCCGGGGATCGCGGGCCGAGAGGAGAGCCCAGCCGCCGGCTCCCTCGGCTCAACCGCCGCCCGCCCTTCCCAGGACTGACCTGCTGTCTTGGCCGGAAACTGACTGGCTCCCCCGGCTACGGCTAGGGCTCGAACCCACCCAGTGGTCGGCACCCTCCTCCTCCTCCCCCCGCAGCCCTCCCCACCCCGGGGACGGGCTGCGCCCTCCTGCCCCCACTGCCCTGGCCCCCGCCCCCTGCGCCGCCAGGTCTGGGAAGCCAGGATTGAGCCGAGGCTGGAGGGCGCGGAGTCCGGAGAGCCGGAGCCATCCGAGGGTGCAGGGGGTGTGCATGGCGCTAAACAAACCCCAGCCTGGAGGCTCGGGTCTGAGGGGGGCTCCTCCCTCCGTCGGCTGAGGCGTCCCGGAGCCCGGGAGCCGACCGTCTCCCCGCTGGTACCAGGGAAAGGAAGGATCCCCTCCGGCGCCGGCCCCGCGCGCCCCGACCCCCGCGCAGCCTGCCTGACGGGGCCTAACCCTGCGCGCACAGGCACGTGTGCTCTCTGCGCGGACCTGGGGAACTTTGCCCTCACGCCCAAGGTGCGCTCGCCTCCAGCCCGCCCTGGCCTCCAGCCCTCCGAGACGCCCCTTCCCCAGTCGGTCTTCCCTCCCCCGGCTCGGCTTGGGGAGAAGCTTGCTGCGCCAGGGCGCCCCGACCACCTCCTCGGACGCAGGAGAACCTGCCTGAACCGCCCCAGGGGGACCCGCACCCCACGCCGGCAGAAACGCCCCGAGACAGACCCAGGCCGGGGCCCCACGGCGGGTTGGGCTCCGAGGAGCTCTCACCGACGTGTTTTAGTCACGGAATTTGCAATAAATGCCTAGAAGGACCAAAAAGGAAGCGCCTGGCTGGGAAAGGGCTGGAGGAGAGGTGAGGCTGCGGGCACGTTCCGTCGGGAACAGGAGAGGCGCGGGCCTGGGGTCGCGCGAGGGCTCACACCCACACAGCCGAGCACCCGGGTTTCTCACTTCTGACCGGTCGGCTGCATGGGAGCTGCCTGGCTTTCCCTTGCCCTCCCGCCACGTTCCTCGCACGCAGCTTGGCGCGCACACACTGTGTACTGGGGTGGGGTACACACAGCGCCTCGGAAACTTTTCGTGCCACCCAAAACTGAATCTGAGCTGCACGTAAGGTGGATTAGTAGTGCCATTTAAGATGCATTCTTAAATAACAAGACTCTGGAATCCAATAAATGCTAGAAATCGACTTGGACGAGAAAGGAGGGGTCACTCACGAAACCAGCAGCCTTAGCCATTGGGAAAGCTAGAGGGAGCAACTTCCATCTTGCGGATTTAGGCGGGAAGGCGGCTGCTCCGGGCCTTGGAAGCTCAAAGCGCCGGTCTCCTGCCTCTTTCTTATGGTCTGTCCTGGGGGCATCGACCATCCTCCCTCCATCTTCTCCCCAGCCATCCAGTGGTGCCTGCTTAGAGCCGAGGCCCTAGCTGGGTAGTGGCGGGTCTGGGACGAGGGGCTTGGGGATTGGAGCTGGGGAAAGCCCCCTTCAGGCCCGCCCTCCCTGTCATTCCTCCAAGCCTCCCTTGTTCTAAGAAGTGACCTCACATTTGACAAGGTCTCTTCACTGCTTTCCCCAAAACTGGGGAGCATAAGGAACCAGCTTTGGATAAGTATCGGTTAAAAGATAAAACTTGATAGGAATGACACTGCCAGGCAGTGTTGGCCTGCAGGCCCGAGGCTGAGAGCCTGGCCTGAATGAACGTTCTCCCTACTCCCAGCTTTCCGACTTCCAGGGTCTTCTGGTTGTCCAAATACACCCCACCGCCACCCATTTGGGAATCTCACGCACGCCTTCCCTCTTCCAAGGACCCCGCTCCAAACTCCATAATTTCTGCTCAGCATGTCCCTCTCCCCTTCCTCACACACACACAAAAAAAGAATTTCACTTTCTTTCAACCTCATTTGAGCATAATGAGGGAAACTCTCTGAATCATGTATGGGAGCTCTCCCCTCCCACCTGTCCAGAAAAGGGGGCTGAGAGAGCAGCAGTGAACCCCCGGAGGACGGGGCTCACTGAGTTTCCATGGCAGTGTGAGAGTAGATTCTGGTGGCAGGAGGTAAGTGGCCCTTCGGGGACCCAAGACCACCCAGCCATCACAAGGACAGTAGAGAATACCAGTCACCACCAGCGTTCAGCTCATGGGGCTGCAGGGCACTCTGACTTGGGACCATCTCTTACCTACTGTCTATACAAATGTATCCCATGACATCCCACCCTCTGCCCACCCCAATGCTCAACCCCAGCTGCTCTCAGAAATGGCATCATCCAGCTGGGTATGGTGGCTCACCCCTGTAATCCCAGCACTTTGGGAGGCTGAGGTGGGTGGATCACCTGAGTTCGGGAGTTCGACACCAGCCTGTATGGAGAGACCCCATCTCTACTAAAAAAAATACAAAATTAGCCAGGCATGGTGGCACATGACCGTAATCCCAGCTACTCAGGAGGCTGGGGCAGAAGAATTGCTTGAACCCGGGAGGCGGTGGTTGAGGTGAGCTGAGAGTGAGCAACACCATTGCACTCCAGCCTCAGCAACAAGAGAGAAACAAAACAGGGAGAGAAGAAATGGCATCATCCTTTATTTCCAGAGCCCCTTGTGCCGGGACCCACAGAGGAAACACAGTTGCACAGCTGAACATATACTATAACACCTTATAGATGAGATGACTTCTGAACTTCAGTCATCTCATCTATAAAATGAGGATTTAAAAAGATAATAAACCAACCTTGTGGAAATTAGATGAGATACTGCACGAAGCAGCTAGCACAATCCCTGGCTCATATAAAGTTGTTTACTGCTTTGCTCTGGGTTCTAGAAGAAGAATTAGGGACCTATGACAAGGCAATAAAACATAAGGGGCAAATGAGAAACAGGAATAAAAACCTATGGGGGTTCAAGGACAACAGAGACTACTCAGCAGATGTCGTAAGAGGTAGTCATGGGGGAAAAGCAAAGTCTCTAGCAGGTGGGAAGCAAGCCCTTAGGCTCACCAACAGACTTCCACACACCCAGGGGTGCCTGGGTCCTTTTACAGCCTTCTGGCTCATTCCAATGCTCCTGAGCTCACAGCCCCTCCTCCTCACAGATCCTAGAGTCTGAATCTGCAGGGGAGGGACAGGGAACATGCACCGAGGCCTTCCATTCCTTCCCTTTCTCTCATTTCTCTAGTTCTCCCTGCTTGTGGAGTGGGTTCTCTGGACAGCAGGAGAGGGAAGAAGGACCAGTGCAGGGGAGGCTGTTGCAGCCCCAGCCCAACACACATGCGCATGAGCACCCAGGCCTGGGCCACACTGCTCACTGACCACAATCTCATTCCTCTGTGAAAGGAAGAAGGCTGAGGGTTCCCTGGCCCCAGAGATAAAAACCAGGAGTGAAAAGGTGTCTCGTATCCAGCTGAGACTGTCAGGAGCCACAGAGCTGGCAAGGTGGAAGCGTCCTCGGCCATGAGAGAGAGCCTGATCCAGGGCACCCCACAATCAATCCATCAGCACAGACTTATTGAACGCCTTCTCTAGCCCCAGCACAGTGCCAAAGTCTGTGGGGAATACAGCAAGACCACCCCTCCCTTGGAAAGCATTTGTAGAGTCAGGCATGTAGTCCTGAGAAGACGGTGAAAAACCCAAAAGCACAGTGGGAGAAAGGAAGAGTTGGTTACCACTGGATTTCAGGAGTGAAGTCAGAGGGGGCTTACTAGGGGTGGGATTCAAGCTGGAGCTGGAAGGATCAGTAGATTTTGGCTGAGCACAGAGGAGGACACTCCAGCAAGGGAACAGCAGAGGCAAGAGCACAGTGGTTAGAAAGGTCTCAGGAGGTGGAGCACAGTGGCTCACACCTGTAATTCCAGTACTTTGGGAGGCAGAAGTGGGCAGATCTGCTGCGGTCAGGAGTTCCAGACCAGCCTGACCAAAATGGTGAAACCCCATCTCTGCTAAAAATACAAAAAAAGATTGGCCAGGTGTGGTGGCGCACACCTGTAGTCCCAGCTACTCAGGAGGCTGAGGCAGGAGAATCGCTTGAACCTGGTTGCAGTGAGTCGAGATTGTGCCACTGCACTCCAGCCTGGGCAACAGAGAGAGATTCTGTCTCAAAAAAAAGAGAAAGATCTCAGGAAAGGAACAGTCCAGTGGGTGGGAGGAGTCAAGGGCACAGGTTGGGAAAGAGCCAGAGGGTCCAGTTATGGTGCTCAGTGGAGAACCAAGCCTTTCAGTCTTCAAACTCATGCCCCAGGAGCTACTGAAGGTTTTTGAGCAGACAAGTGACATGATGAGAATAATGTTTTAGGAAGATTGATCTGACGACTGTGTGAGGGATGGAGACCAGAGGCCAATTAACATGCGATTAGAACAGTCCCAGGTGGAGGCAATGAGGGCCCAAGGAGCGGGGCAGTTGGCGTGGACAGAAGGAAAGGGTTGTCAGAGGCAGTGTAAGGATGAATCGGCCTGATCCTGGAACACAGGGAGAGTGGCCAGGCTAAGACAATGTGACCAGCTTAGCGGCTCAGCTTTTGTCCTTGGAAAAATAATAATTAAAGTAGCCAGCCTTATGGCTAGATACATGTTAATACTCCTTCAATTCATATAATAACTCGATGGCTATTAGGTACTATTAATAGCCTCATTTTCAAATGAGAAAGGAGAGAAAAGAGAAATGATTCAACTGCCCAAGGTCATACTTTAAGTGGCAGAATCTGGATTCGAACTCAGGCAGTCAGGATCCAGCACCCCACCCTGGTCAGTT